AGTGAGTATCCTCTTCAGCAGACTGTTAAACAACAACAGATGTGATGCAAAACAGACCAGTACAGAAGATCCTTGTTTCCTACAGCCATCCACACTGATAACAACTGATATTTTTGAATTTAAGTTAATCAAGCTGTTGACAGCAATGATCCCTTTTTCATTATTTTTGTCCATTTGTTTCAAAGCCACAAGCTCTGTCAAATGTTGTTTGGACATAAATGGGTTGTCTTCCATTATAAACAAATGTGGCTATTTCCATTGCTCCGAATGCTTCAGTACCCTCTCTGGATTCATGCATTTAGCAAAAAAATATTTGTGACCCCTTGATTTTTTGAGTTATGTAATTCAATTAACTGTATTGTAGTACTTCCTCTAACATTCATCCATACTATCACTACAGACATAGCCATCAGGTGATATTGTGATAATAATTTAGTTTACATATTTTATTGCATTGTTTTTGAGGGTTGAGCATGTCTTAAGTTTTGATTCAGCTAACTTTTTTTTTTCATGTGACTCTCAACTCCTTAGTTTCTCTCTCAAGTTCTTTAGTTTCCAGTTCTTTGTACCTTGTATGTGTCATTTGGTCGGCACACACTATATTATCATCCTGCCCACCATCTATATTCAGCTATTTATTTCAATGATAATGAAAACCTCATTTTATGTTTTATTTACCTTTTATACAAAAGCAGTTGATAAAGGCCTTCTTATACAGAAATATTGAACCACTGATAAAGCTCAAAGGCAATCTGTGCTTGATTAGAGATTTGTTTAAATGAATATTAAACAAAAGCATTTTGGCAAGATGACAGTCAGCCTGTGGCACTTCACACTCAGGCTGCTTTAACAGAGAACTTTAGTTCTCTGGAATATTTAATCTCATCCATCCATCCATTTTCTGTCACGCTCATCCCAAGCGGGGTCGCAAGGGGTACTTGTGCCTAGCTCCAGCTCTCTACGAGCGAGAGGCGGGGTACACCCTGGACAGGTCACCAGTCCATTGCAGGGTAACACAGAGACAAACTGGATAAGCAACTATTCACACACACACTCACACGTAAGGAGAATTTATAGAAGCAAATTAACCTAACAGTCATGGTTTTGGAGTGTGGGAGGAAATCGGAGAAACCACGCATGCTCAGGGAGAACATGCAAACCCCATGCAGAAAGACTATTTAATCCTATGTGTAAAGGAAATCTTTCTCTTCCTGATTATTTCCTGAGAAGAGATCACACAGAACAAAAACTTTCAATAATACTTCATAATGTACGTATATGCATTAAATAACCCTGAGACGTCACAACAGTATTTACAGAAATTGTAATCTTACTCAGACCAGAGAAATGGCTCAGGTTACAGATGGCGGTGCAAAGCACCAGGCTCGCTTTTCCTCAGAAAATTAGCTCAGAATAACAGTTAAAGAAGCATTTTATACATCTCCATTGTCGCCCCCTGCCACATCCTCAAATGTCACATCATTACATCATACACATTGGTAAATGAGGAGACATCACTGGCTCCAGCCATATAAAGTTATTACCCAGAATTCTAGATTAAGGACACTGAAAAAGTGACAGAGAACCCACTGTTAAGAATAATCCACTCTGTCTGTGCTCCCATTTAATTCTCAAATCTTTGTTATGTACATAATGAAGATGATAACTTTCTATCCTGACAGAATAACTGTCCTAATTAGATAAACTGCATGGGAAGCCATTAGCCTTAACATGTAACATGCAGATATTATTACCGTTTAACAAGCACATACATGATTAATAAAAAATAACCCTAACACATGGAGAGGAAAGGTCAAAAGCAACATCAAGTGGACAAAAAACCTTCAGTTGGTACCAATAAAAAGAGTAATAACAGATTCAGGCGTTATCCTATCAGTTAACTTCCTAAAATATGACAAGCTCCTGAGAGGGACAGTTTGCAGAAGTGGTTTGCATACATAGGACTGGACTGTATATACTCATAGCATTTCTAGTGATTGTAGCACCTAACTACAATGGTTTAAGGAGGTATGGGAATATTTAAGGGAATGCAATTTTTTGATATTTTGTTAATGGGCCTATGTATAGCAATATTAACTTTTTGGGGCTTTTAACTTTTTTATAAATTTATTCCTTAATGAAATAATTTTTTGCTTGATTTGTGTATGGGATAAATTCTACTCTCTAAGCAGCAGCCACTCCCCACCCTGGAAACCAGTTAGTCATTACCAAGCTATATAGAACTGATATTACTCACCCCCCACCTGAAAGCTCCTACCTTGACACTGATACTAAGCTGCAGCAGATGTTGGGCAATGTCATGAAAAAGGCGGCACCCAATAAATGTTTCCATTCCAATTTCTGTTCCAGTGTCAAAAAAAGGTTGTAGGATGATTCAGTTTGGTAAACATAAACTTCTAACTCTGATCGATTGTCATACTGGATAAGTAACATTCTATGAAGTCTTATCATTAGCCTTAAAAATAGAGATTTGTTATATTTTTCTGGTTTCTCTTAGAAGAATTAGTTGGTGGTTGACAAATTTCTTTCATCTATCTAAAAACCTTTTTGTACCAAAAAAAAAAAAAAAAAGTGCCAAGCAGGTTCTATGACCTTTGTTTAATAAGACTTGGTGCAGAAATTGACACGCTGTAATCTTTTTACTGCCAGCCTGGCATCCAAATGGTGATAAGGAGAAAAAAATGACAGATGTTCATCTTCAGACACTCCAGAGATCTGACATCCCTACCAACAAATCCAGAGAGATGATGAACAAACTCATTCACCAACTCCTTCATTAGCTCTAAGGGATTTATGTAGACATGGATAACTAAAAATAGTGACATTCTCTTCCATTTAATCAACTTAGACGTGTACTGTCAGCCTGCATGCATGGACAGAGAAGTGTGAGTTAAAGACTCTTCTCCTAAACAAGGCTTAAACTATTTAGGGTTGTTTTTAAATTCTAATAACATTATTTAGACTTAATCAGTTAAAGCGTTGCTGTTGCTTTGCTGCTATTAAATGTATTAAGTAGTATGGTACATTGAAAAGGCTCCTAAAAATATGCACATGTACCTCACAGTATTGTTTCCGCAAACAAAGCAATAACCTTTAAACAAACTGAGCATTAAAAAAATGATTAAAAAAGTTTCTAAGTTGACATTTAAAGTATGGAAACAGCCTCCATCCCAAAGGAAAGGAAGCACAAAGAACAATCGTCTAGCTGTTAGCTCAAACGTATCAGTTAAACAGAACTATCAGCCTTGAAGTTTAAGGTCTGTTACACATGTATCCATGAGAAATAGCGAAACCCTCAGAGGGGGTTGTTATCACTGTCATTATCAGCTCATGGGGTAAAGGAATATTTTAGATTGTCTTGTTATAAATTAAGACCTTTGATAAGAAACACAAAAAGGAGAAAACAAATGTCTGATTTATTACCACAACTGTTTATAAGATATTAGGTCTCAGTAATAAGGAAGGTAAATAAAAGTTTTTTTTTGTTTTGTTTTTTGTGGGAACATCATAATCTAATTACTAGAAAGACAGTGAATATTTATCCAAAATCCACTAGAAGTGCTGCAGAACATAGGGACCATGAATGCCATTAGAAATGTACAAGGCCAATCATTAACTGTTGCTCATGTCATGTACATCTGAGTTTCCCCATTAAGACATATTTGTTTACCAGCGATGCTTCTACCCCTGGTTTAAGGGTACATTTTAACATGGTGTTTAAATGGTAGTTTCAAGTGAGATACTTTAATAAAAACATTAACATTGTATACCTCCAAAATGAATAAACTTTTGTTTGTTAAAAATTTGTTTATTCCCCACTGCCATTAGACTGCTGAATGTTTTGTGAAATGGGCTATTGTAATGTATTTTATTATTTTTATTATATTTTATCATTATATTTATATAAAAAATAAATAAAATAAAATAAAAAACATGAAAATGTTAGAACTGTAAATGTACAGTCTTATATTTATATTACTGTTTTTATTTGTTTGTTTTTTTACTATTTTTCAAGTCTGCACTTTAAAAGAAGCATTTAAATTATCCAGAGACCTGTTAAAAAAGTAGAAATTTTTAAATGAAATTTCTTTTTTGTTCTACACTTGTGTAAACAAAATGATCCAAAAAATCTAAGTCTAAGTTATCTTTTTTTATTATAAAATCCAACCAAAAGTCCATCATTTACTGCTACAGGGGGACTTAGAAATGCTGCAATGTCATGAAGTAGATTGTTATGGAATATCTGTGGCAGAAAGTAAAAAAAAAAGGCTCTATGGTCAACATAGATCATTGTTGGGTACAGTCCTATATATATTTCTACTTTATGTTATATATTAATAATTATCATATAACTTAGATTTCAATATAAGAACTGAATGTTTTAAAAACCACCAGCTTCAGTGATGAGGCTTGGTGTAGCCTGATTTCTGCTCTTATCTTGGATTAGTCATTTGACTTTTTCTCATCTTCTTCATTGTTCTAAACGGCATCCTCCCTTCTTTTTTTTTGTTTGTTTTGTGTTGGTTGATCTGGTCTACAGTTTTGAATACATATTTATTCTTCCAGGCTATATATCATGCTTCCCTCTATAAGTTCAAAAAATAGTTTTAATTCTTACACATTTCCTGGAATATTAACTCCCATAAACTAGTTTTTACTTCTAATTATCTATTTTGCTTCTAAACAAGGAGATATACCAACTGCTTTCAGATTGTAGTTTACTGTTTTTACAAATAATTTCATGATAAATAGAGGTAAAGAGTTTTCTATTTTCAGATTCAGTTAAATGAATCCCAATGTACTGAACGTGATTAGACACTGACCTGTGCTGTAAGTCTCATCACCATATCTGAAACTGAACTGTATAACAATTGTATTTGAGATGAACATCCTGTACAAACTCAGTAACATTCAGTGAAAGTTGTGGTCTGAACCCTAAAAATATGAAATAAAATGTTTTCTTATGGTGTAGTTAAGGCTCCTTAAAGAACTTTGACAACTTTGTTTTTCTTGAAGTCACATGTCTAGTTGTGATATCTCTTTAATGAGTATTAATCATGTGTATCAGACTGAAAGGTTTGAGGGATAAAGTTCAGCTTGTGTGATAAATCAGATTTTAGCCTTATCAAAAAGTCCACTTTTACAATGTGTGCCTAAAGATTTAGTGAAAGGTCGCTCTTGTCTCCTAAAAACCAGAGTTTTCTCTGGTCAGTGTAGACATAGAGACTTTTGTCTCTGTCAGTCAAGTCATTAACTTGTGGAAGCAAGATGTTTCCCTAATTGTGCAATCATTGTGTGCTGTGTTAAATTTGCTAATGTGGCTGAAGTTGAATGAAGTGGAAAATGTCTATGAAGTCGTTTCCTCAAGGTAAAACTCGTCTTTTATCAATTGATTTTTCCAGACTTTTTTTCACCATTATTAGCAATATCATCAGTAGTATTCTGAGTATGCAATAATTCTTCATAGAAAGCATTTATACAAATTTCCATAAGTAAAGCTTATAAGGTTGTTCTTATGATCACAGACATATTTTAGATAACAGTCATGACTTTTATAGCAACCACTAGAAGGTAAAATTAGTCAGCTGTTGCACATAAATGCTAATATAACATACATGTGTCTACTCTCCAAGAACCCAGTAATTATATGGTTAGTGTAAATATACCATATTACACATATATATTAACATATGCATGTTTCTTTCTGAATGTGAATGAATCCAAACAACTGGATGGAACTTCTGACTATACAGTAGCTATTCAATACAGTTACACAGGATAGCAGAATTTAGCTAAAATACTATTTATTCCTACATTTCATTCATAATTGTCCAAACAGTTAGATCCATGAATAGATCCTCTACAGGTAAAAGATTTCAACCACTATGAAATCCTAAGAAGAGTTTTATAACAAGGTACACACAACCACAAACTATTTTCCGACATTTGTGTTTCAAAGTATAGGATTTCTATCTAGACACATGGCAGTGAGTAGTCACAGGTGAAACAGTCAAGACAGAAAAGTTTAGCCTTTTTCCTTATCTCTATGAGCAGCATAGAATTTCCTGTTGTCTAAACACCAACAACATACTGTAGTTTAAAAGAAAGACACATATCAATGTTGGTATAGAATAGTTTCAAGAGGGAACGGTTGCTTCTTCAGGAGATGCTTCTGATGTTGGAAATGTGTCACTGAAGATAAGAATTCTCTAGGAAGCTAAAAAGAGGGAAGAAAAACAGAGGAAAGGCTTTAGATTTTTATTGATGACTGAAACACCTGAAGAATCAAAGAAATTATCCATTAAGTATTTTATACATCATTTAAAAAGCCTTAATATTTGTGTAGAACTCAATTTCTTTATTTCAGAGGGCTATGATTGTATATACATGGATATATATATATACATATACATTTTTAAACAGCTTTAGGATTTTTCGGTTTATCTGTAAATTTACAAATACAGACAAAAAAACATTTCTAGTTTAGCAATACAAGCTGCAGGACCCCTCACGCCTATTAGGATTGCTGGAGATGGTTTAAAAGCTCAAAATAATCTCTAACTAGAAAAACCACTGATTTCAGCTCATGCGGTTTTTGGAGGTAGTTTTTTTTTTTTTTTTTTTTTTTTTACTTGTTTATTTTCACAAAAATTGGTGCAATGAATATGAACAACTTTCACATAAATTAATCCCACATTGCAAAAACAAGTTTCTTAAATTAAGTGTATTTACCTTAATTTGAATAGGTTAATAACATTATTTGCCAATGGAATTAGTATTTTTACTGTTGAAATAAGATAATCAGGTAATATGCACTTGAAATATGACAGAGGGAATTGTTTTTTCTTATTTTAAATGTAAATTATCTTGTTCCGTTGGCAAAGTGTCCCACCTCCTCAATTCAAGAAAAAACTTATTTTAAGAAATATAACTTATTTAGATTTCAGTTTTTTGCAGTGAAGGCAGATTTATGAGGTTTATTTTACACACAGCAGGTTAGTTATAAAGGTTTCAGATTCATGATACCCGAACACTAGAGCAGATACATTTCATTCTCTGTCCTAACTCCGTTATAACTACCTATCTTTGAATTAGGGTTATTAACATACCATGTTTCTGGTCTCACATAAGGCCATGCCGCTTCCTTCTGCCAAACGCCTGGGCACCAACATTTGTAGGGACAAAGTTGCTGTATCCAAGTCCACCTGAGCGACTTAAAAAGTCGGCCAAGCGGTGTGTCACACAGGTGGCCGTGTTGCATGCCCGTTTTTGTGCTGTCGAGTTGCTTGTGGAAAAAAGGGGGCAAAGACAAAAAAGTTTGAGAGGGGATGTAATGAAGGTGAGCAACAATATCCATTACTATTTCCTTTTACTGTTCATAAAGCTTGCTCCAACCGCATTGTTGGGGGGGAAGAATCAGTTTGATGATAAAAATTAATCAAATAGGAAAAAAGAACATCACAACTAAGAAAAAAAATACTACAAGGCAGGACTTTAACTGTCAACTTTTTTATTATATTGAACATATTGCAGCAGTTTTAGATTCGTTTTCATTATCATTTTGAGTCATAAAAGATTTTTTGAAGGAAAATACACAAACAAAAACAGACCAAAAAAAAAATGATTGACTGTAAATCTCAGAATTTCTATTTTATGTGCTGATGTAGTTTTCATATAGCTCAGAAAGGCTTCTCCTCTTGCCAGGGGTCCCTGCTCCCACATCAGTACGAGGATAGGTTTGCAGTTTGTGAATATCCTGGGAGAGTCTGCCAAGCACACATGTGCTCAAGCCGGTGCAGCGTTTTGACACAGGTCTACTCCAACTGTTGGAGATGGAGAGAAACATGCAAAGGCTTACAGGACAGTAACATGCAGATATTGACCTGTGGTTACATGCATTTACGAAACAGCTAACTGTGATATGATACAGACATGCTGAACAACCCAAACAGTGTGTGAAGTTTTTTGACCAAAGTGAGACGGTAGAAGTTGTATGCCATCTTGTGGTGATTAGTCTGTCGTGCATATTTTCTGTTCGTTAGCAATATACTGTATCATCAATATTCTGAACACATGCCAAACTGCAAGCAATGTTTTTAAACTGATGTGACATTGAATGAGTCAATGAATGTATGATTAACTTTAGTACATGCAGTCAATTATTTTTCTGTTAGTGGTAAATCCCTATTTATACCTGTAAAATGATCATCAAGCTCAAATGTTGGATGGATCTGTACACAGATCTCAATTACATTTTTTTTAGATCAGAAAAGATCAGCAAACCAAAGATGTGCTGGATTTAAAAAAAGCCTTACCTCTCCCCATCAGCTGCTTGTTGGGTCGCTTCATCTGAGCTTATCTGCATGAACTCCTTGATAGCTCTGAGTAACGTCTCAGTATCCTTGTTCAGTAGTGTGACCCCATCTGACCTGGACTCCTTACTAGTTGAGAAAACACTCATTCAATTGGTGCATTGATCTCTGTGCATCTGACACAAATATTGGGTAAAATGATTGTTCACATGATAAGTTACCTTAAGTGGTACATGTAATCTTACGGACACGAACAATCCAATTTAGATAAAGAGTTTCTAACATCTATCATGCTCCAGCTCTCACCTGGATAGTGCTGCGTCTGAGGAGGTCTGACAAAAAATTAGAGCATAGCCAAGAAGGAGGGTCCTGAGTTTAAACATGCTCATGATTCCCTGTAAAGAGAGAAAAAGAAAACACAGATTTATTGATAAAATGTATGCAAAACCAACAAGGAATGTGTTTACTGCTTCACATTTAACTCAACCTACAGACATTTTAGATGAAAAGTAAAATTACTTAAAAATTGAGAGTTTTTTCAGTTTTAAATATATAAGCTTTATTATTATTTAACTCTGTTTCTCTGTTTGGTTTTCTCCCCTCACAATATTATAGCCATGGTTTTTAAGGTTGTGCAGTAATGATCAACAGTAATTCAAAGATTACAGTGGCTTCAGTAACAGAGATAGATGCAGTTTAACCTATTAGATATATAAAGCAAAGCAATTTAAATGCAGCAGAGCCACTTTTCACTTCTTTCTGTTTTCTTCTTTCTATATCCCATCATAAGATAAATTGTTTGCTCAAAGAAAAATCTAATTATGAAAAAAGATAAATAATTGTATCTTTTTTACGTACCTTGCAGTTAACGATCTTCTGCTACTGGAGATGTAGATGATGTGATGATAGTGTATCTGTTGAGCTTCCTCACAGTGAGCAGTTTTATATATGTCCCACATGGATTATTGTAATTTGTGAGCAAACACTTGATTATACTTCATTGGGCAGTCCAGTGCATGCTTCAAAGCTTCGGACCAATCAGAGGTACTGTGTAATTTATAGCAACCAAATAAGAACTTGTATGCAAATCAAACTGCTTCATCGTCATGATGCTCTCAATTGACGAAAGATTTGCAAAGTTTGAACTCTAGAAGTGGCAGGTGCATCCAGGCAAAAACATCAAAGTAAATCAACAGAGGCAGGGAACTCATTAATACAAGATGCTTCCTTGCACCAACTCGGACACAGCAAGCAGTCCAGGATATTTCCTGTCTTTTGCCCATAGACTGCTGGAGATAAGCACCAGCCCTTTAAAACCTGATGGATAAGCAGTAGAAGATGGATGAAAGGATGACCAAACCATCCCCACTCTTCCATCTCTCTTGGGTTGGACTGAGAACTTTTCAAAAAGAGCCTAAAATCTTATAGAACATAAGAAAATAGAACAATTTTATTTGGTTTTTAGAAATGTAAAAGGCATTAGGGAGAACTTCAAACATTAAGATTTTTATGTATAGAAAAAATTAAATAAATAATTATTTTCTCAATGCAATGGTAATTTATCAGAGTGAAATCTATTTTTGTGGAACAGTCTGTGTAAAACATGATCAGGTTCTACTAATGTTTAGCCAGAGCCAGAGAGAAGAAGGGTTGCGCGTCTTCTATGTGGCCTGCAAATACGCTCATTTCACTAAAAGGCCCATCTACTTTAATGGGTTTCCCTTGTGACGCAAAAACTAACTAGAAGGCAGGATGCGTTATGATACATCCTGCACTGTTGTAACATGAGGGAATAAGAGGAAAAACTGAAACCAGCAGCCAACTAATCTCCACAAAGAAACATAATGGACATCAAATAATGAAAAGGTGTAGTTTATTCATTGGGTGCTCCCTGTGATACTATTGGTAATGATTTGTAATTATCATGCTGCTATCTGGGTAGTCGTATAGCCCAACACAGAGTTATTCCGAGATTATCTAAATGAGATGAACATGGAGTTCATAATGAAGAATTAAACTTATTGCTGATGATTCTATTAAAGAGTTGCTAATTTTATAAAAAAAAAAAAACTGCTCAATACTAAAAAAAAAAATTAAAAAGGGAAAGGAAAGTGTTTCTTTTGGCTTGGTTCTAATCTGTTAATATGTTGCATGCTTGAGGGGTGCTTTAAAAAACAAGGGGTTCCCCTAATTATGTTCCAAGGTGCATTTTGTGAGCAATTAAAAGCCTTTTGATTTATTTCAAGCACACTGATTTTAAAGCCTTTAAAGTGATAATAAGTTACTCTAGAGCAGAATTGGAATATGCATATTACGGCAGTATTTGAATGCATCTAAAAGCTTACAGGGAGGCTGTGGAGTGAGGTCAGAACATGAGCATTGTTGTCTGTTGAAAGTACTCTTTAGCTCACTGATTGGCGTGTTCTAGATCAACTGTGAAACTTTTTAATGAACTGCTGGAACAACCATCTCATTCGGCATTAAATGATTTAAGTCAACAGGTCTTAAAAGTTAAATGTTATCATGGGGGGGGGGGGGGGTTATTCATCTTAGATGTTGTAAAGATGGAAGAGCATCCATTTGACTTTATCAAGTCAATGTCAGACTGGCTAATATTTCTCTGACTTCTTTTAATAGGTATCAAAACAAATTTCGTAGTATTATTATGTAAGAAATGTACTGCACATCCAGTCCTTTTTCCAGTAAAAAAATAAAAAAATAAACATGGAAAATGATTAACAATTATAAGCTTGTCTTGAAATGTGGATTCTGGAACCAAGAATAAAACTAAGCATTAATATTTAACACTAAAAAAAATGTTTTTATTACAATTTAAACACAAAGCAACATAAATGTACCATTTAACACAATTTAAATGTCGAAATACAGAAGCATCCCTTGAATATAATGCAGATAATCTAATGCTACTCAAGGGTTAAGATTCATCACTAATTAATATAACCAAGAACACAAACTGATGCACAGAAAATAAATTTCAAAGGGAAAAGAAGTGTACACCAGGCCACACTTAGCTCCCACTGCACAGTGGGCACAAGTTGAGCATGAATTGTCTTGGAAAAATAATTACAACACAGGAGAGCAGTTTTGACGGAGAGGCCAGCATCACTCACTGCAATGCTTGTCAGAGACCGTCTCAGCTGAGTTCACTGGCAACTGGTCTGATTAAAAACAGTACTGAGCTTTGCATGGGCTGAAGAAGACATCGCATAAACAAATCTGGGATGCTACAAACAGGAAAAACAAAGAACTTAGACTTAGACAAACCTTATGGTCATTCTGTATACACAGAGTGTACAAAACGAAATTTCGATGCATACAGCTTTTCAACAGTGAATGAGCACCTTACATCAGTGAAATGAACATTTCCATTTATAAAGTGAGACTGTAATCAGAATGTAAACAGTGTAGGAGAAAAGGAAAACTAATTTAAAGACATGATGCAAAAGGCATTAATAAGCTAGGGTTCAGAGCAAAATAAATAAATAAATGTGGTGCAAAATAAAGTAGATCATTGAGTTGAGTTCTATTTAAAGGGATTTCAAAATTCGCCATGTAGTGCAAATTTGATGTTTACAAGTGTGATACAGAGTCTCGATTTATGACTTGATTAGAGTTTCAACAGTTCACCAGTCTTATGGCAGTGGGGGAAATGCTGTTGCAGAACCTGTTGGTCCTGCATCGAATGCTGCAAAGCCTCTTCCCAAAGGGCAGATGGGAGAACAGTCCATTGGGGGGGTGTGAGGGGTCGCTGATGATGTTACCGGCTTGGGACACGTAGTGCTGGGATGAAATGTCTTTATTGGAGGGACGAGGAACCCAGATGATCCCCTATATTTCAATTATTGTAAGAATCCAAGATTGTTGACTGAAATCTAATATCAGAAATGAGAGCTATAAAATTATGAATGTAGATGGAAAAAGAAAGATTTGAGGCCACATGCATGTATAATTACAGTGAATCTGACAGGACAATTGAAATTACACCTCTGTGAAAATCAGTGGAAGATGTAAAAGGGGTGTAATTATGACCAGGAAATTAAACCATTAATAAGTATTAAGTTAAGTGATTATGGGACCTCTAAAAGTTGTCCATAATCTAGTCCATGTTTTAAAAATAGTGTAAAGGACATAGGACAGGACATACTGTATAAAAGGATATTTGAAGAACTGTAAATGATGAACATCAAGTTAAGTATGCCACAGCTGCCCTGCATTCCAAATACAACATTTAAACACCTGCCTGGAAGCTACATAGGGATTACTAGTCCTCTTGGTGTTCCTGCCACAGCCATTAAGTTGTTAGAGTAAAGACCCTATAAACCATGTCTGTTTTGAAAAAGGCTTTGTTAGAAGATTTACCTAACAATTTCAAGTGTTCCTGGATAAAAAAAAAAAGTACATTAGGAGCACCCCTGTCAAAAGAGCCATGCAAAAAAAATATCACCTGTGGCCTAATCTGAAGGAAAACAGGAACAAATCCCATTTAAATTGAATCATTGCTCAACCTTTGTCAGTTTGAGCCTGAAAACACAAGACTGGGGGATTTGTTAAGGGTTAGAAGAAATCTCATGTAACTGCAAACATCAAAAGACAATGAAAAGAATTGTCAATCCCTTTATTTTCTTACCTAATTAAGGGTCAGAGGAGGTCGAACCCTGTTCTAGTAGTCAGCAAGCAAAAGATAGGTGTTGTACCTATCTTCTGAATGGTTAACAGCCCATCAAAAAGATCGTTGTTGTTTTTTCCTTTGTTTTGTTTTGCCACTTTAAATAATGCAGAATCTTAATATGCACATTATCATTCTTAGATGTATTAGATACAAATTAATTTACCACACAAACTGAGAATTTGTCAAGATAAAAGGAGAGATTTATCTTTCTGTGGGAAATGTGTGTTTAATATTCTCAGTTAATCAGCTCTGGGTCATAGAGATCCATCATAAAGTGTGCTGGATGAAAGAGGGGCTTTAGGGCTGTTATAGAGGGGCCCAGAAATATAATCAGAGAACTTAAATGGAGTTGTGACAACTTTTTGCTGCTTATTAGGAATTGAGTAATAGATCTATAGCACAGACGTTTTCACTACAAGAAGTTACATAAGTAAAAGTTGAAAACTAACATCAGGTGTTGCTTAAAAACCATGATAACATTACAATCCACTAACCTTATTTTGCCTCCAGGCAGACATATTTGTAATTGTTAAACTGACTGTGGTTCAGTGTCTCATTATTGTTGGGCATGTAGGTGGCGCAGTGGATAGCTCGCACAAACCATGTACAGAGGCCTTAGTCCTCAACATGGCCGCAGGTCTCTTCCCCGTTCTCATACCCCCTATTCTATCAACCTACTGTAAAAAAAAAAATCAAGCCACTAGAGCCGTAAAAACTCAAAAAATATAAATAAATATACAGACTCTCAATATTGGTATTGCTTTAATTTCGGCAACCATAATGGCCAGGGTGGTGAAGTTCCCCCTGATATGAGTCATAACCTACTTTTGCTCAGGGAAACTGCAATAAGGAAGCATAGCGTTTTAAATATTACAGTTACTTATTTGATATCTGCAAATTTATACTCCCTTAGGGAGATAGAAAATTGTTTTTATTTGTTTGTAATAAGGTCAAATGTAGAATTAAACCAGCTTGTTGCAGCATAAATACATGTATGGCAAAGGACGATAAAATGTTATTGTTCATTGTGACAGACAATCTTGTCTCTTACGGGTTGACAAAGGCTGAAAAAACTTATGGTCTCTGGTCTGATCAGATTATAGGTAAATGAACTTTAATAGTAATATCACATGAACTCATTGTTCAGCCTACAATTTAACACATTAATTTTTATAATTAAGGATCAGAGGGTGTGTATCATAATGCATAGCTCTGTGAAATTACTGTATACTTGATTTGTTTTTTGATTTTCCACATTAGATTGT